ATCGTTTATTTTTCATATTCGTATGAAAAAAAAAATGATAAAAAATCACGGGTTCGCTTTTTTTAAAAAAAAGTGTTCCCACTCATTGTGTTGGCCTTCTGCCCTGACGGCTTAGGCGAAACACGCTTGTTCGAATACTAAAAAGACGCCAACTTATGGGTCTCTTCGATGATGTCCCATAAATGCTCGATTTGGATTCATGTCGGGCGATCTTAGGTGGCCAGATCATTTTCGTTGGAATTGTCCAGAATGTTCTTCGCCAATCGCGAACAAAGTTGTGGCCCGTGACATGGCGCATTGTCACCCATAAAAATCCCATCGTTGTTTGGCACATGAAGTCCATGAATGGCTGCAAAGTGATCTCCAAGTAGCTGAACATAAGCATTTCCAGTCAATGTTCGGTCCAGTCGCACCAGAGGACCAAGTCCATGCCATGAAAAAAAAACAGCCTACACCATTACGGAGCCACCACCAGCTTGAACAGTGCCTTGCTGACAGTTTGGGTCCATGGCTTCGGCCTGGGTCTGCGCCACACTCGAACACTACCATCAGCTCTACCAACTGAAATCGTGACTCATCGGACCAGGCCACGGTTTTCATTCATCTAGGGACCAACCGATATGCTCACGTGCCCACGAGAGTCGCCGCAAGCGATGTCGTTCTGTCAGTAAAGGCACTCGAGTCGGTCTTCTGCTGGAATAGCCCAAGAAAGCCGAATTTCTCCGCTCAGTTCTAACAGACAAGTCCCTTGTACGTCCCACATTGATTTCTGCGGTTATTTGACGCAGTGTTGCTTGTCTGTTAGAATTTACGACTCTTTGCAGACGTCGCCGCTCTCGGTCATTAAGTGCAGGCGGTCGAGCACTGCGCTGTCCATGGTGGGATGTTATGCCCGAAATTTCATACTCTCGGCACACTGACACAGTGGATCTGGGAATGGTGAATTCCCTAACGATTTCCGAAATGGCATGACCCATGCGTCTAGCTCCAACTAACATTCCGCGTTCAAAGCCTGTTAATTCCCGTCGTGCGGTCATCATCACGTCAAAACCTCTTCACATGAATAACTTGAACAGAAATGAAAGCTCTGCGAAAGCACTGGGCATTTATACCTGTTCTACGCGATGCTACTGCCATCTGAAAATTTGCATATTGCTATCCCATGACTTTTGTCACTTCAGTGTATTATGACCTCCCTTTCTTACTGCCATCACATACCATTGAGTAGATGAACGCTTCTCTTTCAGGCACTCGACATCTTTATTCAACTAAGTAGTAGGGAGAAAATACCTTTCATGTGAGGAAATACCTGTCATTGTGAAATGTGTTTACCGGAGAACAACAACTGAAACAGATGCTCATCGAAGTATGGACAGTTGGGAACTGTTGAATAATTTGATATTGAGCATGGAGAGACAGTGCCAAGCAACCATTGCAGTTAAGCACTTCATATTTTTCTACTAATTATTACCTGTTTGCTGTTCTCTGTGTTGAGCAGACAAGTTTTTGTGTTGACTTTTGTATAAAGTTCATTTTGTTTCTGTATTCTGAATTCATTTCTCCCATATGATTTCTTACAGAGTTAAGGAGGAAAAAAAAAAAAAAAAAAAAGTTGTTGCTTAAGTTTTGGACACTAGTATATATATTGTGTAAATGTTGATAAATACTCTTCTAATGCTTATTAGAAGAGTAGAAATGCTTATGAATAATTTTGCTGTTTTATTTATAATGAGTGTAACATAAGGAATATAAAATGGAGGGGGGTGGACTAATTGGAGGGTTATGTGATTCGAAGAAAACAGTAATTAATATAATTTCCTAATAAAGAGTCTATTAGCAGGAATAAGATATTTTTCCCTTCTAGAATTTTTAAACAATTTCTCTAAGGAATACCTACTTCAATTACATTGAATAGACTTGTTCATAAAAATCCGAAATTTGTTTGGAGTTGAACGTTAATTAAAACTGTGAAAAGAAATGAAATGATTGACGAATAATATTTGAATTTGAATTGTGTGTGTTTGTTTGTTGAAAAAGTGTTTCGTTTTCGATTGTTTGCCTGCTATACTAACATGATTACAATATTTCATTTTCTTACGGTAACTTGTTTTACAGTCGGTTTAATTATGCCTCAAAATTTATGTTGATATGGACTTTTCTTCATGGACAAGTACCAACATGCACCATGCAAACACCAATGTGGGGGAGATATTGAACAAACGGATTTAAAGTCAACTAAATGTTTTCATATACTAGTCAAATTGATTAAAAATGAATGTAATCAGTGTAACTGCTGAAACCTTTGGATGGCTTCTTCAAAAAACTAGTATGGGATTGCATGTTTTTCTGGAAGCTAATTATTTCACTGTTGCATATCTAATACATATCATTGGAACTGTTGCAAATATTTGTGGTGAAATAGCTTTATCTATATTTATTTTATTAAGATGTTATTATTTTGATTTTTTGACTTTTTCTAATGAGTTGGCTATAGGCCTGCATTTAATATTTGTAGCTGTGATTAATTTTTTTACAGATTGTTTTAACTTATTATTTTTGTTATACTGTACTATTGTTGATATATTGAATTCCTTGTATGTCAGTATTTTGAGTATATCAAATGCTGTTGTTTATATTTTATCTGAAGCAATAGAAAAAATCATCTATTTTATAGAACTTATATTTGAAGCTTTTCTTCTTATCCTTCAACTAGGACCCAACATTTTGATTTTTTTATATGGGTGTTTTATTTATTGCTGTATACAACTATGGAATTCACTTCAGTGTTCTTTTTATTTTTTATGGGAAAATTTGTATCAACTTCCTTCAGAATGTTTGAAAATGGCTAATAATATACCTCTTAAAGCTTATTTTGGATCATTTATGCTTGGTATCATCATTTATTATCGCAAGTCCATTAAAAGGTATATAAGGACCTTCTTTAAGCATTCATTAAAATTTGTGATTTTTATTTCTCAATTTATACATAAAATCATAACAAATATTCTATGTACCTTGATGATTATGATATCTCATTGTATAAATTATGTAAGTTATATACTTCCATTAAAATGGACAAATTCTGCATCAAGACGTAATTCCAGGAATTCAAGAAATGGAAACATTTTGGCATATAGATATATGAAAACAACACTCCATATATTGAGTCTCCCATTTCGTAAAATTAAAGAGGAACTTAATGAAGAACAAATTAAATTACTTCAAAGAGAATTATGTGAAGAAAAAATGAGACGTGCATGTATTATTTGTCATGACAGAGAACGCAATGTTCTTTTGTATCCATGTAGGCATATGATAATGTGTGAAGAATGTACAATTTCTTTGCAAGCTTCTTATCGTGATTGTCCTCTTTGTCGAAAAGAAATTTTAAACACATTAGTAGTATATACATAAGCTCAATAATATTCAGTCATTGTTTCATTATTGAAAACTTTATGTGTTGAATTTTTAAGATGTAATTGCATTTTTTTATGTACGTTTTCTTGGAAGAATTTTTTTTAATAATTTTTTCAAGAATAACCAAAGGTTATAAACTGTCTATCTGCTGTTAGAAAAAATTTATTTGTAAAATAATTGTGCTTTATTTTAAATGTTTGTATATATCAATAAATCAATTAAATTCTTGAAAATAAATTAATTTATATAAAGTATTTAACATTTTAAGTTTTTCTTTACTGTTTTAAGTTAAAAGTAACAGATTTGTATATAAAATTCATTTTGTTTTTATTTTTTTCCGACCATGAATCAAACTAATTTTGCTGAAATAAATGAGCCAGAGAGCAGATCCCATCTGCATGCTGTCCATATGTAGCATAAACACATGTGTTTAATTGTGTGTATATTAAATGAAAATATGTATTATTTAGTTGAATGTAAAGCATTCAATCGTGTACAAAAATATCAGTCTTAAATTAAAATTGAATTGAATTCATTGTTCAAGCAGAATATTGCCGATTTGTAGTTAATATTAGCAGTAAGATTAGACTTTTTTTCATATATAATTATAACAGTTTGAACATTGGAATACAAAGAAAATAAGAAACAAATATATTTTATGTATTATTATGCAAATATTTTCTAATTTATTCAAAACTATTCTTTGATTCGAAGGATATGAAACAGTGACTAAAAGTTACTATTGAAAAAAAAATTAAAATCTAGTAATAAGTTTATAACTTTAATTATAATATTTGTAGGGTACTTAAAGCATAACGTTTGAAAACCAAATAATGAACCATAAAAATATTTCTATTGAAGGAACAGTCATAAAAAATGCAATTCTATTTCGTAGAAACTTCTTTTTAGATTAAATTATCATTAAAATACAACATTTTATTTTACTGTTTACTTATCAAAGAAATATTTCTATAATATAATTAAAGAACATTCAATTTTTTTTTTTTTCAAATAATTAGTTATGCAAAATTTAAAAACACCTTTTATGTCAATAATGCTAATATAAAAGGAATATTACAATGAAAATTTTATCAACCATATTTTAAGTCAATAGTAACAGTTTTGCTCATAAATAATTTTTATTCTTTCAAGCACATTAATTGTTAAATATTTTCGATTGTGAATAATTTTTAACTGCAAGAGATATTTATGGTATTTTAATTCTTATAAATATTTTCACATAAAATTGTATTTTCTTATCCTCAGAAATGTCTGCAAATAAAGCTTGAATTTTATATTTGTTACATTTATATTAAGAAGAAGCATCATAGAAAGCATGATTGCACAAGTAAATTAAGTTCATATAATAAGAAAGCAAACTAATTATCAATAAAAGACTGTGGTAAATTACGTGGAATTAATTCAGTAATTTAGAAGGCAGCAATTCCTTACCATTGCATTCTAAATAATAAATTCCGTATTTTAAATCTACATGCAAAATGTTTTGCATATTATGTTTGAAACAATTTTGTATTTTTAATGTAGCATAAATTACTTTTTATTATCACTAAGAAATTTAAAAA